TAGAGTAAAGCTTACTCAGAGCAAAGCTCTTATCCATCCAGAGGACCTTGCCTCCACTATTCTGCTCTCCCAATGGGCTCGGGGCTCCCATAGGCAGGAGTAGGGACTTCACAAATGTATTGTGAGGAGATCAAAACATCTGAGTCAAGAGCCACCCAGTGAAGGATCTGAGAGATGACATTTAGCCTCCTTCTTGATGACTTGAGGAAGACAGGGTTCATTAGTTGTGGATTACAGACTCTCTCAATAGCAGGGCCCTCCTGCTCCAAGATATGCGGTCTCAGTGGCCCAACCTAACAATGAAGGTAGAATTTGTTATACTTTTTTTTCCCTGTCTTTTTTCCCTCTTTTCCCTTCCACAGAATTTGTTATAAGTCCAAAATCCCTGAGTCTGCTCCCACACACAACGTGCAGGTAAGGAAGAGGATGTAAGTCAAGATGTCAGTAAATCTGAGATGTGCTGCCAAAGTAACTGGGAACAGTTTTATATTTTAAGGGAAGCTGTCAGATTTTGGCTCTTGCTGCTTTCTGCAGGTGCAATTGTGTTCCACAAACTGTTACTTGACACAAAGCAGGACAGAGTCCATCTGCACTCCGAATATCAAGATTCGGACTTGTAACATGTGCCTGTAGCGCACTGCCACAGTCAAGACTCAAACTAGCATTCTTGTGATTCAAAAAGCAGCAGCTCTGACAATTCTCCCTGATCGTGCCAGGAAGCGCTGGGCTGAGTATAGCTGTGATACACCTAGTGGTTTTACAGTAAAGTGGCTGGGGGAGGAGGTTGTTTTGAAAGTTTTTCTTATTGCTCTAAATGAGAAGCAATTTTTTTTTAAATTTACAAAAGGAAAGATGTCATGTAACAAAATGGACTGTGAATCTGGAAAAGGCACTAAGTTCTGAATGGCCAGAACTGTAATTTACATACCCTTTAAGGCTCCTTTATGGCCAGAGCAGTGTAAAGAGTCCTTAGCGAAAATGAGTCAGACCCACACTTTAACAATAGTTAACTCTGATGTGATCAAATCATGTTACAATACAGGTGAGCTGACTAAGGACAGGAAAGGGAAGATGGGTCAATGGTAAGAGTGCTAGCCACGGGCTCCAGTGAGCTAAGGCCAATCGTTTGTCTACCCAGACTTCCTGTGGTGACTTTGAGCAAGTCACCTGGGCCCAGATTTGTAAAGGTATTTAGGCATTTCTGCCCTCAGCGTTGCAACATCTAACTGATTGAGGAGCCCAAGTCTCATTTTCAAAAGGCATTTGGGCATTTAGGAGCCTAAATACGATTGATTGTTTTTGCTGATACATCATGAAATCCTCATTAGCATAGATTGGAACTTAACCTTATTTTGCAGTTTTAGCCTGGGTTATTATTATTTATTACTGGTTTACAATAGAACCTCTAGGCACCAACTGAGATCAGGGCCCCATTTTGCTCAGTATTGTACAAAGACATAGTGAGAGGCCGTCCCCAAAGATCTTATAGTCCAAATAGGTAAGAGAAACAGAGCACTGATGAGAAAACAGAGGTGAAGTAAACGTCTCCAGTTCACTCAGCAGGTCAGTGCCAGAACCAGGCACCGATCCCAGTTTTGAGCCCCACTCCATTGTGCTAGGTACTAGACCATGCTGCCCTTGATGGCTCTATCCGTAAGGCAGACATGCCATCAACCGTTTCCATAGCATCAGCCTGTGATCATTCATATACCCGTAGAGCCCTGCTCCCTGCGTTTCTTACATTTAGGGGAGGGGAAACGTTGTTGCTCAGTTCACACTTTTTAAGAGTCCAGAAAGAACTTTATTTCCAAACAAATCCAGTCCTGGTGCTCATGATTATTGCCTTTGATTTACTAGGATAGTATTGAGCAGCAGGAGTTGGAGCCGTACGCCAGCTACGTGCAGAAGGAAAACATGATCTACAACACAGTGTATGAAGTAACAGTGAGTGAAGAACTCCCACCAGGGCTCCAGTCAGCAACGTGAGAATCCAGCTGGGCCCAACTCACCACCTGTGTGAAGAAGGGGAACAGGTTGCAGGGAAGATTAATGATACTGGATTCCTTCCAGAAAAGGATCTCCATCACCAAATACTTTCTTCATGGGAAGCAAGGATCTGCATAGCCACTGGGTGTCTCCAAACATATCTGCCTGCTGATCAATTCCTCTTGTTTCCTCTTTCCCTTTTTGTCACCCCCGTCCCCATCCTGGGAATTGAGTAGCACTGTGAAGGATGGAGTGACCTGCTGCCATTGGTTTCACCATGGACAGCTCTTGTGCTCACAGGTCCCCACTGGCTGCCCTGACTTCAGCAATCCAAAAATCTGACATTCAGTTTTGGACATTAGTTCTGTGTCACTTTGTGAGGGGGAGGAGGAGTGAAACACCCACTGACCAAGTCTACTGTAATAATAAGGGCACTGGTTACTAGACGAGAGATCAGCTGGAATGGGAGATCAGCTGAGTATCTCCTTATCCTCCCAATCCTGAGAAGAAACACTCTCTATTGAGGAGGTCCATTGTGTAGGATGATGGTTCACAGACATGCTGAATAACTTGTCAGGTCCCCCATTGAACACAAAATGTTTTCTATAATCTGTACTAAGTTACAAGTCATTCTCAGGAGTCTTCCCCTGGTGGAATCTCCTCCTTCAGGGAGCACAGGCATTAACATACTGCAATAGCATAATGGTCCAGCCACTCCATTAATCTGTTTCTAACAGTGGCCAATGCTAAATGTTTCAGGAAAAGAAGCAAAACATCAATAATGCGTCTACTGGGATTGTGCAATAATGGACCAAGCCAGGGTAATTTCTCCCTGACCTCAGCTGGTACTCAATTTATCTTGAAGCATAAGGCTTGCTGGCCCTTGTAATATTTATTTTAGCTAATGTTAATTGCAGAAGGGGGTTTTGAAACCTTTCATTGAATCTTATTAAGCTATTTTGTCTAAGTATAATTGCAGCACACGGTTAATTTACTTCATATAAAAATGAGTTTATCCATTTCAAACATGTTATCTTTTAATTTCATCAAAGTGCCTCTTGTCCATGTGTTATTGACAGAGATAAATAGGACAAGGCAGTTGTCCTCTCTGCCAGTGTTTCTCAACCTTATTGGGTGGGTGAGCCCTTAATTGAAATAAAAAAATGTAATGACCTCTTTTCTTTACTATAAAAGTAAGAGTAAAAAAAATGTATTTATGCTAAGCCTGTATGATCTGTTTGCGTGTACTCACTGAGAGGTTGACAGAGGCCACCTGACCTTGAAGGGGAAGGGTGTGCAGGCCATGGGGATGGGAGGGTAAAATTTTCTTTGCTTTAGACTGTAATACAATTTTCAACATCTCGTGATCCCCTGATAGCCTTTTGTGACCCTCCCGGATGAGAAAAAACATGGCTCTCTATTGGTCTCCTTTCCAAGCTGCTGTAAATAGCCCTTGACTCAAACCTTTCCTCCTATGGAAGAGCTACCCCACTCCTCAATCTCCTAAACACACCTGTTGCCCTTCTCCATTTCTGATGTGTCCTTTTTGCATAGAGGTGGCCAGAGCTGGACACTGAATTCAAGGTGAGGAAGTACCTTGGCTTGGAATTTCCCAGGAACCTAAAGGCGTTTAGCACCCAACTCCCAATGGATTGCAATGGGACATGGCCACCAAACTCCTCTGGGCTTCTTTGAAAGTCCCAATCATCATAGAAGTGACATTGTCATAACAATCTCTGTTGCTGTCTTAATATATCCAGAGATCCATTCCCTTTTTGCCCACCCGTGGGTGTTGAGCAGTCACCCTCACTGCATTGTCAACAAGACCGATTTTTTTCCCTTGAGCCTATAGCTGTTGTAGATCAGAGCCCAGCAGTGTATAGCAGATTGCCTCTTTCAGTGTACACTACCTTGCATGTGTCTAAATTGGATTCCACCTGCCAGCCTGTTGCCCAGTTACCTAGTTTTGTTAGGCCTTTCAGGAGTTATTCATATGCCTTGATCTGCTTGACTAAGTCAATTTAATTTTTTCCAGGCCCAGTCTCTTGCTGCTATTAAACAGTCTGGTTTTTCTCACTCTTTCTGGCTGTAGGTTACATAGACTATCCCTTCTTTGCACAAAAGCCACATCTCCCACAACACCAGAGAGCTTAGGTCAGGGAGTCCCACCGGTTGCTTCTGCAGAAGTCAGCACTTTGCATCCTGACTTGAGGGCTAACCACATCCCTCTGGGCCTCATGCTGTGTTAGCCAGCACAGCAACTTGTCCCCCCTCTGTAGAGCTAGACAGGAATGCTGCCCTGTAGCTGCATGATTGTTTAACCCAGGCCAGGACTTAGCCAGACCTTGTATGGTAAATTGTACAGCGCAGGCTCTCAGCCTGACTCTGTGACCTGGAGAGCCAAGACACTTGACTGGCCACATGTGAGTTAAGCATCTTTACTACACACAAGTCCTCTCTTTTTTCTGATGTGAAGAACATCACCAGTTTGGGGTGGAGTTTCTCCCTGCTCTTTTCCTCCATCACTAGTGCACCCGTGCACATTCCTTTCCTTGCAGTTCAGTGCCACTGTGCTGAAGCCACCCTGCAAGCAAGCAGGGGTGTTACATTTAATTCTGCACAATTGACTGTTACTTAGTGGCTCAACCATGCGGGCTTCCTAAACCAGCTCAGATGTTACAGAGTCACAAAAGGAGACACTGCCTTTTAGTGTTGTATTAGATCAGTGGTTTTCAACCTTTTTTTCATTTGCAGATCCCTAGAACATTTCCAGTGGAGGTGCAAACCCCTTTGGAAATTTAATCTGTGCTCCATGGACCCCTACCATAAAAGTCTTAGACTGTAAATTGACTGAACAGAATTCAACTATGTTGCATGTGCTTGGCTCGGCATTTAACACAGCATGAGAAAGGCGCAAAACTGTGGGTTTCTATGGTAGCAACAACAATTCCAGGTTTTGACCTGTAGGTGGGGTATTCACATACTTCTGATCAATCAGAAAAACAGAACGCCTTTCTGGGATCTGAAACTTTATTTTCAGTTACCTTTTGCTGACCCTTTAGACATAGTCTGCAAATCACCAGGGGTCCATGAACCACAGGCTGAAAACTCCTGTGTTAGATATTGCCACCTCCATGAATGCTCTTCACATTTTACATCCATCATCCTTGTTCTAATCCAGAGGCTGATACTACACTTCCAGTTTATTTGGTCTGGTGTCCCGATATTGTTTCTGTACATGTGCTACCTCTCGGTCCTCTCCACCCAGAAAATCTCTTTTGATAGAGTCTATGAAGTCTTGTCATACCCAGTACCAACACAGAGTCAGTGTAACACACAAGGCTGGGAGACAAGACATGGGGTGAAATCTTGACCCCCATGGGAGTTTTGCCATTGACTTCAATGGAGCCAGGATTTCACCCATGAATTTCATTCCTAGCTCTATCGGTGACTTGCTGTATGACCTTGAACAAGTCTCAAGGTTGGTGTAACTCATCTTGACTCTAACCCTGCTCCTATTGAAGTCAATAGCAAGACTCACGTTGATTAAAAAGGAAGCAGGATCAAGCCCTTTAACCCCATTACACCACATGCAAAATGGGGATAATATCTAGCTTGGTAAAGTACTGAGCTCCTAAATCACAAGATGCTATATTACTATTCACCCACTTTAAGTACCATTATTCTTTATTTATATTGTTGTAGTGTCTACTAAGAGCCCCGGTAGCTTTCCTAGCAACCTAATCCATTTCCCCTGTATTTAGTTATGTTCAGGAATTACAGTAATCCCATTGATTTCATCCCACCAGCTTTCAGAAGTGACAAACGTCTAGATCAGGGGATCTCAACCTTTTTCTTTCTGATTCCCCCCTCTCCCAACATGCTATAAAAACTCCATAGCCCACTTGTGCCAGAAGAACTGGTTTTCTGCATATAAAATCCAGGGCCATTGTTAGGGGTAGCAAGCAGGGCAATTGCCTGGGGCCCCACGCCACAGCTACATTGCTCAGGCTTGGGGTGCAGCCCCGGGGATTTCAGCTCCATGCAGTGGGGCTTTGGCTTTGTGCCCTGACCCCCAGCTACTCTAATGCTGGCCCTGCTTGATGGCCCCCCTGAAACCTGCTTGTGACCCACCAGGGGGCCCCAGATCTATGGTTGAGAACCACTGGTCTAGATTGTCCCCCAATGTCACCTATTCACTCTTCTCTCCTGCTCCTTGAGTTCTCATTTGTAATGATACTGCTGGGCCTAGCAGATTGCATGGTCTGATTTAACTGCTTTGCAGCACAGACCAGCTTGCCTCCAGCTACTAGTTTAAATAATTCCAAGCCCCCTGCCCCCCCACCAAAATTTAGATTTCTATTGCTAGCATGGAAACTAGAGTTAGGGGGATCTTCCATGACTATTCACTTCAGCAAAGCTGAGTTTACTTCAGAGGCATTGGTGCCCTCTGTATTCTCACTTTGAACAAATATTCTAGGAAATTAGTTTGTTGGCAGGAATGTTTAGAGAAATAGCAAAGATTAAAGAGCGTTCCTGAAAACCAGTTTTAACTTTTAAAGTCTGAATATGCACAGCAGGAACATGAATCTAAGAGTTATGTTTAACCAGTAAGGTAGGGTTACTATATTTTGAGTGTCCAAAAAGAGGACACTCCACAGGGCCCCGGCCCCGCCCATGCCCCGCCCATGCCCCACCCCAACTCCACCCCTTCCCCAAAGTCCCCGCCCCAACTCCGCCCCCTCCCCTGCTTCCCGCGAACATTTGATTCGCGGGAAGCCTGAAGCAGGCAGCAAGTAAGCTGGGGGGGTGGGGGGAGGAGGCGTGGCCCAGTCTTGTCCCCCCAACCGAGCGGCTCCCTCTGGCGGCCGGCCCCGGCCCTGGTGTCTCCAGCCTGGCTCAGCTCCTGGGGTGCTGGCCCCAGGCCAGCCCCTGGCCGAGCACCCCGGGCCAGCCCCCGGCCCAGCACCCCCGGCCCCGCACCCCCGGGCCAGCCCCCGGCCGAGCACCCCCGGCCGAGCACCGCCAGCCCCGGCCCGGCCCCTGGCCCAGCACCCAGCGGCGCCGGCCCCTCCCTATTTTCCCGGACATGTTCGGCTTTTTGGGATTTCCCCCCGGACGGGGATTTGAGGCCCCAAAAGCCGGACATGTCTGGGAAAATCCGGACGTATGGTAACCCTACAGTAAGGAAAGAGAAGTAACTCTATATCGGGGTAGGCAACCTATGGCACGCGTGCCGAAGGCGGCACGTGAGCTGATTTTCCGTGGCACTCACACTGCCCGGGTCCTGGCCACTGGTCCGGGGGGACTCTGCATTTTAATTTAATTTTAAATTAAGCTTCTTAAACATTTTAAAAACCTTATTTACCTTACAGACAACAA